TGTGTTGCCTGCAGGAGCTGGCAATTTAGCACGCTCTGCTTGGGCTGCAAGAGGTTCATACCTGTTGCAAAGAATGAGTGGTAGGGGGACCTTGGTGTGGCGGGTCTTGGGGCCCTTGACCACCTTGGTCCAACCCCTTGGCTGGACAGCATGAGAGGTCCTCAAGTCCTCCCCAGTCCTGGGAGGTGACCGTGGTCTACCCTCCACCTCCCGGGGGTGAAGGGTGTGGCAGTAGGAGTCGATCTCCTGCTTACAGTCCCTAATGGCACATAGTCTCTGGACCGCAGCCTGGAGCTCCTCCAGTTGGCGTGCCAGAGACCCCAAAAGGGAGCAGTCCTCACAAGGGGAGGTGGCCATGCTTCTGGACCCCAGAGCCTGAAAAAGTGACAGGCAGCCCACGCAGCTGAGAGCCAGAGGCTCTGTCTGGGTGGAGGCCTCTGAGGCACCAGGATTTCTCTTTTTAGTTCAAACTAGGATTTCTCTTTTCAGTATTCAGTCCCAGAGTTCAGCAGCCAAAAATCTATTTTGCAGATTAACTTTTTCATTAATATTGAACATTGGGGGGTTTTTTTGGTAATGAGTATTGGCTTTGTAGTAAAAAGGTGGCTGTCAGTTATATGACAAAAAAAGAAAGGTGACTTGCAGTTTCAGAACGTTTTGAGGTTATGATGTCACACTCGAACGACCACTGGATAGGATAATGCTGTAAGAAATCCAGCTAACCTATCAGTTCCAAATGAGTTAGGGATTAAGAGAAGACCTAGAAGGTGTGTAAACATCATTTAAGGAGTATAAATCCCTTCCTGTTATATTTTAAGCACTTTCAGGACTTGTCAGCATTTGTCTTTGTTGAAGGTCCAAAATCATACTGTGCTCCCTTGAGACAGGTTAGTATTTTAATGGTCAAAACTTGGTTGTGTTTTATTTTTATTGTTCCAAGAAATCTTGTGCTTCTGGTATTACAAATCTGATTTGCAGGGAAATCAGCCATCTTTTATTTTTCTGTGAAACTCCTTCACCTATTCTTCATATGATAGGTGCACATGGGCATGTGATCATTTACATATAGTAAGGAACTTTATATACAACTGTGCTTGCCTCACAGTACAGCATCTGCCATATAAATCATCGCTTTCTCTCTCTCTCAATATTTAAGCAGCACTAATATAAGCATACTTTTCTGCTATTTCCATGGAAACCTGAAGAGTAACTCACTTAGAATGATTGCACTGGAATGCAGAGGATGAAGAACTCATCTTGTTCTCCGTTTATGCAGAAGATAAATTCAGGAGTCACTGGGCTAAATTAATCCCTGGTGTAACTGTGACTTCATTACTTTTTCATCAGGATTAATTTATCCCACCAGGGGAAAACAGAAGTTTGAACATTTAAGACACAGACTGAAAATAAACAGCAGAAAAAGAAACAAACAAAACTCCCTCTTTAATGATGCAAGAGAAATTCATTGTAGGCTACACTACAATAAAATGGGTACATAACTGGTTGGATACTTGAGCTCAAAGGGTAGTCAATATTGTCAAATAGGAGGAGTTATCAAAGGGGTCCTCCAAAGATCTGTCCTGGATCTGGTGTTTTCCAGTGTCTCCATTAATGACTTAGAGGACAGAATTGAGTGTATACTTAATAACTTTGTGAAAAACACCAAGCTGTTTGTGGTAGAAGGTGCTTTAGAGGATAGGATTACTATTCAAAATGACATTAATAAATTGGAAAATGGTCTGAAATTAATAAATGAAATTCACTAAAGACAAGTGCAAATACTATAGTTAGAAAGGAACAATCAAATGAACAAATACAAAATGGGGAAAGGCTGGCTCAGCTTCAGCAGAGTCAACAGCATAGTATTTTTGAAAGAATGCTAATGCCATATAGGGATGCATTAACAGGAATGTTGTATGCAAATCACAGGAAATTATTCTTCTGATCTGTTTAGCCCAAGTGAGGCTTCACCTGGAGTACAGTGTCCAGTTTGGGGTATTGTGCTTTTAAGACTGTGGACAAATTTGAAAGAGTCCATAGGGGACAGCAACAAAATGATTTAGGCATCTGGAAAACATGACAATTGAAGGAAGTTTAGAGGACCTAGAAAAATTTAGTCTAGGTGTTATTATATAGAGGATGGAAATAAACTGCTTTCTCTGCCCACAAAAAGAAGTAATGGTCTTAATTTGCAGCAGGGGGGATTTAGGTTAGATATTAGAAACAACTTTCTAACCAGTAAGGCTTTAAATATTAGAACAGATTGTGTAGCAAGGAGGTGGAATGGCCATCCTTGGAAGTTTTTAAGTGTAGGTTAGACATTTTTTTCTTGCATGGTTTACACAGGGTTGATTCTGCATGGAGCAGAGGGTTGGATTAAATGACCTCCTCATGCCCCTTCTTCCCCTATTTTCCTGATTCTACAGTTTTTTAATGAAAAAATGAAATGTACAAGTGATAAATAGCTACATGAATTGTTGAATTTGCTTCAAGGCAGAAGTAGCTAGTAATATGCTTAGTTACTTCCTTTTTTACTTTCGATACAACTCTTAGAATGTGTCTTCCTTGATTCAGTCAAAGAGCAGCCATTAAGGAAGAGCCCATTAATCAGAAAGTATCAATTTTGTAGGGACAATGCAAAAAAATAATCCTGTTGAAAAAGGGATCAGACAAGCAACAAATACCTTTGTAGTATTACCAGCACTGGCTGAACCTCTAAGCTGGGGACAGATAGTACACATAAACCAGTTTAAGTGATCAGACACTGGTTTAAACCTGTAACAGAACATGGCTGAAACCGGTTTGAGAGAAACCTGGTTGAATGTAGTATATCAGACTTAACTGATTTTGGTCGAACTGGTTTATGCAATGTCTGTCCCAGACCCCTTCGTAGTTTAAGTTAAACCGGAGTCCCCCAGCATCCTAGATGCTGTGCAGCCTTGGGCAGGGCTCTACTCTCTGCTTCTGCCCAGGAGGGCTGGGTCCGCCCCTCTGTTCCCTGGCTGAAGCTCTGGCTGAGACTGCAGGTACAGCAGCATCTGCCTGGCTTCCCCCTACCCCACCCCCACTTCATCAGTCCCTGCTCAAGCAAGGATTCTCCCCTCCTCTCTGCCTTATACAGATACCTCTCAGCGTTAGCTAACATACCACATGCTGGCTATGGTCCATGCTGTGGAAGACAGGACAAAGGCAGACAGGACACTGTTGGCTTAGGGCTTTTTGCAGCTAATCAACAGTAGCTGGTAATGTCCCTCTGTTCCTTCCTTGGAAAAAATTGTTTAAGAGCCTGAACCAACGAGACAGCCTTTTGTTTTGTTGATGGGATGATAAATGCTGACAACTCCCTGTGTAACTCCCTGCTGTGTAACTAAATGCTCCCAGCTGGCTCCCTGCCGGTCAGGACCAGCGAGGGGGATGACGACCCCTTCCTAATCAGAGCATCCTGCCAGGGCCTGCCCCCACCCCCCATCAGCTCAGCACTATGGAAGGGAAGGCTGCTCTAGCACCCCCTGGCTTCTAGCCTGAGCCACTGCAGGCATGTGCCTACATTTCTGGAATGAAAAGGGAATATCTGTCCACTTCCAAATCAGTTCAGGTGTTGCAGGTTTAGTTTAACCTGCAAAGATTGAATCGATTCAGGCTCATGTTTTTTGAATGTCTGTTCCTAGCCCTAAGTATTTGGGATTTGACTGAATCTAACCAAAGACTGGATGCTTATCCATATATTTGAAGGCTGCTCTTCCCTGCCATTGGCATTCCCCAAAATCATTCTTTACTCTCCCTACTTCAGTAGTGCCTTTCTCCTTTTCTGTGACCTGTACTTCTCTCATGCCCCTCCCTTCACTTTTGATACAGGTTCTTGTTCTCCACCATCCCCCAAAACAGTTATTTTCTATGGGAAATCAGTGGTCATCTTAATATCTCCAGGCAGCAGGAGAGATCTGTTATGCTCTCTCCATCACAAGCCATCAGTAACAGTACAACTGAGCTAGCATGGTGGCATCCAGCAGCCTTTATAGTTGTCTGTTTGCAGCTGTTTCAAACTCAGGACTAGAAATACTAGAAAGGCATTCGCTAATACAAAAAATGAAAATATGGTAATGGTGGAAGTAAACTATAGTATATCCAGAATCTAAAGAATCCCATATATATCTCTGTATATCAGAATATACTAGCTCACCTATACAATAAAGAATCTTTTGCAAATAAAAGGACAACCAAATAAAAGCACAGAAACTGATAACTTTCTCCTATCTTAAATGATAAAAAGGTAAATTGTTATTGTTAGAGGTATGGAAACAGTATCTTTAGGTTGGAAGGATGAAGTATGGACATGTGAAATAATATCCTGGTATTCCAGGCAAATAAGAGTAAATTCTAGGGGTTAGCGTTACAGCACAGAAACTTTTTCTTTTCACTGTGTGTGACATAGAAATCTGGAATTAGAAATAATAATGTAGGGAGACTCCTTTAACAATATGCTAAAAGAAGCACTTGAAGTTTGGAAGCAAGGCATAAAAACCCATTGACCCATAGAAAAGAACTAGGGATGTATGACTACAGCTTTCTCCAGATTGAAGTAAAAAGGAATCCAGGAACCAGGACAGTGATTCTTCCCTTTGTGACATTGCGATGTGCTATCTTTTTTTCTGGGCTGGATGTTTTCCCTTTGGAAGTGACACTTTGTGTTGTGTTAATCTATGTTGCCCTTGAATGGGGCTTGTCTGCCACAAACAGATCCATCAGACATCTGACTAGATTTCTTGCATGTACACCATTATCCAGAGGATTGACAGTTGCCTACTACTATTTGGAGGTTTGTTTGCTTTTAATGTAAATGGATTTTTCCATTTATATTACAGAAAAAAGATCTACTGCATTCGGAGTAGAAGTTTGGTTCTGGTCCTGCATTCAGCAGCACAGATGAGCTTTACCCATGCAGTACAAAGTTTCATTGAGCAGAGTTATAAATCAGTCTGTAGTCTACAATTTTAGTGGTCTTTTAGATATGGTGGACCCAAGCCAATTAGTGTCTTGAAGATAATGACCAGGACCTTCGATTAGATTCAATATTTAATGGCATGTCCATGTAAAACAGACAGAACACTGCTCCCAGTAGCCCACATTGCAGAGGACGCATGCTAGAGTGTTTTGCACTTGCTGGATTTTCCTAACAGCTGATAGCTTCAGGCATTCTTGCATTGTATCCTGCATTGCATTGCATTGCATTGCATTCTAGTTTGCATTGCTGTAATTCAGAAAGGAAGTAATGAAGGCCTGATTATACTTGACAAGTACTCATCAATGGCTCAATGTCCAATTGGAAGAAGGTATTGAGTGGGTGTACCTGGAAGTCTGGCCTAGTGGATAGACCACCAGGGGAGGGCCAGAGACAGGAGCTGGGAATCTGAGGGCCAGAGCCAGAGGTAGAATCTAAGTCACAGGCTGAGTTATTGTTCTGGAGTCAAGGACCATGTTACCAAAGTTGAGTAGCATTCCTAAAGCAGAAGCAGAGCCAAGGAGATCCAGAGAGGCTTACTACAGCAGACTTTCAGAAAGAACTGTTGGCTGACCGGCAGTCTGCTAGAGATTGGTACTTATCCATGTTAGTCTTATGTCAGTCAGAAGGCAGGGTAGAGATGCACCTTTATAGGCTAAATACATAAGATATATAAAAAGAGAGATCATGAGATTTCATGAATCCAGATTTACTTCACCAGATGCTGTGAAAGGATGTTCAGAAAGCAGAGTACAAAAAGGAGAGAGAAATTAGAATAGACCAGGGAGAGAGAGATAGGAGGGAGAGGGATGAGTGGGGCAGTGCTAGGAGAGACGAGCAAATCAGCAGTGAGCTCATAGGAACATTGGGGTCACAAAAGTTAATCCAGGCTATGAGAAAAGACTCCATAGTCCCTGTTTAAGCCATTTTAACATAGTTCAGTTTGTGGATGATTTCTTGTTCTGCAATTTCCTGTCCAAACTGGTTTGTAAATGTTTTCTGCCTGAGAACAGCAATCCTGAGGTCAGTGATAGAGTGTCCAGAGCAACTGAAGTTTTCTGCCACAGACTTTTGTGTCTTACTGAAGCTGATGCCAGATCCCCAGCAGCCAATCAGGAGGCCTTAACAGCAGCCAGGTGGTTCATCAGGTGGGTTGGGGATGCCAGTTAGATCCTCTGGCAGGTATGGCCAGCTGGGGAATTAGTCTGAGCTGAGCTGCCTGTTAGCGCCCCTGACAATGAGGTCTTCCCAGGGGTCTTCATTAACAATTTGGAGGATGGGATTCAGTGCACACTTAGTAAATTTGCAGACAGCACCAAGTGGGGTGGAGTTACAGACACTCGAGGTATAGCTAAGATTCAGAATGACCTTGATAAACTGGAAAAATGGTCAGAAATCAGTCAAATGAAATTCATGGAGATCAAGTGCAAAGTCTTGCAGTTGGACAGAATAATTGCTTGCACATATACGAACTGGGAAATGACTGGCTAGGCTGCAATATGGCAGAAAAGGACCCAGCATTGTGCACTTTTTGCAAAAAAGTCCAATAGAATACCAGAGTGTCTTAATAAGAGAGGCATTTTCACATCAAGGGAAGTAAGAATTCTCCCATAGTCCATTAGGCACTAGCTAATAGACCTGTGTGAGGCAGCTAGTATTTGCTTCAGATTTGGCCAATTCGGGGGACAGTGATTCAATTTGGTGATTCAAATCACTGTCCCAAATCAATTCAGCCAAATCTGATTTGGAGATTTGGCTGCTGCCAAATTGGCTGAATCTCCGAATCACACAGGCCCCATCCCCCACCCACTCTCCCAGCCCCAGCAATGGCTGCCTCACCTGCCCCAGCTCCCAGCTCTTTGAAAATAAAAGTCTCCACTCACTGTCTGCTGCCAGGCAGGGTGGGGGGTGATCCTCGCTGCCCCCCACTGCCCTGCGCCATGCTGGGGGCTCTGCATGAGCCCCCAGAAGCCCTGAGGCTGCTGTGGGAGCTGGTGAGTTCGGGGGCAATTTTTGGGTCTTTTTCTTAAATGGCTGGGAGCTGGGGTGGGCAGAGCAGCCATGGGGGGGCTGGGAGAGTGGGCGGGGGTCAGGGGGCTTGTGACAGAGCCCCCCCATGCAGTGGGGGGCAGTAGGGGGCAATGGGATTGCACCCCATCAGGCAGCACCTGGTGAGTAGGGGCTTTTTTTTTTTTTAAAGGGCTGGGAGCTGGGGCAGGTAGGACAGCCATTGGGGCAGGGAGGGATGGGGGAGTGGGCGGGGATTGGTGGGGCTGGGAGAGCAGGTAGGAGATGGGGCCTGGCAGGGGTCCCGCCATGGTCTCCTCCCCTCTCCTCCAGCCCCTTCTCTCCTGTTCCCTATTTATCAGCTCGGAGTCTACGTCCAGCTTCCTGCTGCAGCAGGTGGGGACTGCCTGAATCACTAAAGCTCTCCGAAACTTTTCCAAATTGATTTGGAGAGCTTCGAATTGATTCAGACCTTTTAATTGGTCCCCTAATTTGATTTGGATTTGGAGATTCAGCCACCAAATCGGGCCAAATCTCCTCCAAATCGAATCAGCATCCAAAGCTTTGCACAGCCCTGCTAGCTAAGCCCCACCTAGGGTACTGTGTCCAATTTTGGGCCCCTAATTTCAAGAAAGATGCGGACAAATTAGAGAGTCCAGCTAAGTGTAACAACTATTAGAGGCCTGATAAATGCAACTTAAAGGAAAGGCTGAAAGAACTACCCAGGCCATCTGAGCAGGATATCTTGATTCTGCTCAGGTCTCATTAAGCTAGTGCTCATGAGGAGCTGAATGAACTGGGCTTTTTTAGTCTAAGGAAAGGAAGATGGAAGAAGGATTTGATAACAGTCCCCAAAGGGCAGTCCCAGAGAGTTGTAATCAATGGGACAGTCTCATCCTGGAGGGGTGTCTCCACTGGTGTGCTTTTTAGCATATTTATTAATGACTTGGATGAGGGGATGAAATGCTCTGTGATTAAGTTTGCAGGCAATACCAGGCTGTGGGGAAATGTGGATAGGACAAGGATCCAGGATGACCTTGACAGACTGGATTTATGGGCTAATTAGAATCAGCTGAGGTTCAACAAGTAAAAATGCTGGGTCCTTCATATGGGTAGAAAGAACCTTCACCACAACTGTAGGATAAGCGGTAGCTCACTGGCTGGCACAGGATCTGAACAGGGTCTGGGGGTGATAATTGACCAGAAGATGAATATGAGCCAGCAATGTGAGGAAGTCGCCAGCAGGGCAAATGGAGCTTTGGCATGCATCAGCCGATGTGTTGCCAACAGAGCCAGGGAGGTGCTTCTCCCTCTTTACTCAGCACTGATGAGGCTGCAACTGGAGTACTGTACTTGATTTTGGGCACTGTACTTCAAGAAGGATGTGGATAAACTCAAAAGGGTACAGAGAAGGGCCACCTGCATGATTAGGGGCCTAGAGGTTAGGCAGTATGAGGAGAGACTCCAGGAGCTGGGCTTGTTCAGTCTGGGTAAGAGGAGGCTGAAAGGTGACTTGATAGCCACCTACAAGTATGTCAGGGGGAACACCAAGATCTGGGGGAGCACCTCTTCAGGAAGGGACCCCTTGGAAGAATGAGTACCAGTAGTCACAAACTAATAGAGGGAAGATTCAGGCTGGACATAAGGAGGAACATCTTCTCTGTAAGGGTAACTAGAACCTGGAACACACTCCTGGCAGAGAAGGTGTGGTAGCCATCCTTGGAGGTGTTCAAGAGGAGGCTGGATAAGTACCACATTAAGCTCGTTTGACCTTATTAACCTCCATGATCTTAAAGGTCCTTTCTTGCCCATTGATTCTGCGATTCTATGAAATACCTGAAAGGTGGTTATTTTCTTTGTAGTAGTGGTATATAGGAAATTATACATAAATTTTGCATATTGCTGGCACTTTTGTCCCTGTCCACCCAGTAGTTTACCTAGTAGCTTCAAATAGATGTAGACTAGAACCTGAATGAGAATTAATCCTTCTGGGATTTCATAAATGAGGTAACTAGAGGTAGAGATGCAGCCTTATGTTTTTACTCTGAATGTATCCTTCTAGGAAGGAGTTAAACCATTTTAGCTTATTCCCCTAGCTCAGGGTTGTCCAACTTCTCTGCTAGCCATACACTACAGTGGTAGGTGCCTGGGTTCCACCCCCTCACTGTGGAGGCACTGCCAGTAGTGTGCAATCCCTCCAGCTGCAGCAGCAGCACTGGCAATATGCTGCCTCTCACCTCCCTGTTGTACAAGCTCTGCCAGTGGAGTACAGCCCCTACTGCATGAGCAGCATTGATATTGTGCCCTTGGGCCTTCACTGTTGCAGGGGATGCAGGGGCCCCTGGGTTGCTTGTTGGCCCTTCATAAACTACATGTGGCCTGCAAGCTGCTAATTGTACAGCTATGCCCCTAGACCATTGCTACTTACCTTAAGTAGGACAAAAACCTTTATTAATTAAGTGCCAAATATTGGTGAGGACCAACAACCTGGCAGTGAAGTCTATTCAGCAGTCTGTGACAACAGCGGATCAGTTATCCGTGCCACTGGGGCTGTTTCCATGAAGTACCCTGACCTTAAGTCCAGATTGTGCCAGGATATTAGTCCTGACTGAGTTGGTTGTTGGCCATTAGCTAGCTGCTCTATGAACCTGCTCAGGAACAGAAAGTTTGATACTGAGTGGTGGCTAGGTAGGACACTGTTATGTTACCAGGGATAACTAGCTGAAACAGTAGGCCTGCATTATAAAGAACTGATTCTTGTAAGATATTGGGTGTACTCAACTGGCCTGGAGGGACTACAGAAAATACAGTGCTTCAAAATGCAGGTTAGTGGTGCAATTCTGAGCCAGAATCTGCTTAGTTGCATCTGTGTGTAGATCCTGAGTAACTCCATTGACACCAGAGAAATTACACCAACTTTACAATTGTGTAACTACAGGCAAAATTTGGCTCTTTAGCCTTTCTCTTTCACTAATAAGGATTCAAATTTGTAACAGACAACATAGATATAACTGAGGACTATAACTGCTGCAACAAACATGGGGAGAGGTCCACAACATCTTTTCCTTTTTTTTCTCTCTCCTAAGACCCTCAAAAAACAAACACTATGGCAGTCTTCCTCTATGCTGTGAAAGAATCAGTAAGGTTTCATTTAAAAACCAACAATGCTGTTTGAAAGTCAACCTGAAGGACTATTTGAGAGATGAGGCCGGTGCTTAAACAGGTTGCCTCTTCACTGCTAAATATTTCTGCCAGTCAAAGGAACAGGAGCCAGGCTCAGATTTGGACTCTCTACTGCACCATGACTTTCAGGCCATCATCCTGTGGAAAATGTC